ATCTCTGGCTCTCGGGCGAGACCACCACCCCCATAGCAAAAAAAAAAAAAAAAAAAAAACAGTGTGCTTTAGTAGTTTTGTAGTCTCCTCTTTCTGAATACCAAGTTGATCCTGAAGTGAAAAATGGAGAAGCAGTATGAGATCCAACTTCAGAGGAGGAGAGTCCTTTCTACCTTCTAATTCTCTTCTCTGCCTCCATTTTTTTCTCCTGTTAGTTCAACCTTGGAAAAGCTTGAAGTTGCAGAGTCAGAGTTCACCCATGTAAGTGTCTGGGACATGGGGGAAGTGAAAGCTTGGAAGGGTATAAAGTGGATCACTGATGGAATGGAGCAAGAAGTTAACAGCAAGTTTAGAGGATCTGGGTACCCCCTAAATCTTGCTTTTTAATAAATATTTTGTGATTTCGGTAATTCATACTTGGAAGGTGAGGCTGAAATCAAAGGAAACTTCTTACTTTCAGGTCAAAATTAACTTGAATTCTATTCCTATCGTTTTCTCACACTGTACATCCTTAACTTTATACTTTTTCCTTTTCAGTGAGCAGAAAACCTCAGAAGACCTGAAACAAGATTCTGTCATCTCTGCGATCCCAAGATATCAGCTGTTGCCCCAGCAGTGCTGAGTTTTCTCGCCATCAGAAAAGGAGTATAAATAGAGTCTAGGGGAGCTCTCCTTCCTGAAGAATGAAACTCTTCTCTTTCCCCTTCCTCGTGAATGGGCATTAGTGCCTTGGACAGTTGAGGACAGCAACATCCCCTCCACCTCAGATTTGGGTGGCACAACTCTTCAGCTGGCCGACCTTGGCTTTCACAACTGAATTGTTTTCAAACCCATTCTTCATGCTGCAAGTGGGGTTGCCAGACGTGGCGATTTTCTTCCCTCGCATGGACCTTTCAGCAGGGGCTGGACTTGTAATTTCCTCAGGACAGACTGACTGGCACATCATCCCCACTTTATCTCTTCCTGCTTCCTGGAAGGAGACCCCTGTAATCCTTGTAAAGGTTTTGCGGAGAGTCAAGGTGTTTAGCCACCTCCCAGCTTTTTTATCTTCTTTCCTTAAAAGAAGGAAAAAACAAAAAGCACACAATTTCAAGTCAGTTTGAAATCAAAACTCAAGAAGCTCTGAAGAGATGCTATTCATGGGGTTCCCTCAGGAGAGCTCTGGTGTTTGAAGCCAAGTGTGACTCCTCTGCCAGGAGCAGCTCCTCTTTAACTCCCCCTCTCTTGCTGAATTTCTTAAGGCTGAAGGAATGGAGAGAGTGGGACATGGGGTAATCTTTACCCCTTTTGTTAAAACAGTGGGGCAGCCATGGGACTAGCTCAGACCCCTTTCCAAGCAGGGCCCTATTCACTGCCAGGCCATACTGATTATTACTGTTTTG